TCGACTCATACTGAGTTGTTTTGACTTCCAGGAAGAAGAAACACACATGAGCCGACACATGAGCCAATACGAAATCTGGATGAGCCAATACATGAGCTAATACATAAGCTCATGTGTCAGCTCATAAAACCTTTTTTGTAATCTTTTTTTTAATATTTTTTTTCTTTATACTTTTATTATTATTATTTTAATATAAAAAATTTAAAAAAATATTTTATTTAAATATGTATGCATACACTTTTTTTTTCTAAACTAAAAAAAAGACAAAAAACATTTTCTTATTAAAATCAATTTCTTTTCTTAAAATTAATTTAAAATTTAGACTTAGGTTTTATTTTAATTTGGTTTATTTTGATTAAATTAATTTAGACATTAGGATTTTAATTAATTTCTTTTCAAATCAATTAGAACTTTTTTTCATAAAAAAAAAACATAAAAAATAATTTCTCTTCTCTTTATATTTCTTTGTATATTTTATTATTTCGCACTATAATTATGTAATTGTCAAAGCTTTGTAATAGTAAATTAGGTTTATTTGCTTTCATCTCCCCATTTATAAATTTGTATATCCCATCCCCCTAATGATGTAATAGCATAGTAAATTTACTTTCCACAATTTATCGCTTTCATATAAATACTAGTAATTAGGATTTGTATGGGAAGAAAAAAATCGACAAGTAGATAACCCTAATCAAAGATTAAATGCATGCAAATCAAATACACTATTCACACATGCACCCTTAAGGTTAACTCCACTTGTTGCCTAAAAAATGGTCATGTTATGCATGTGGGATGTCTTAGCAAAAATAATCAAAAATACAAGATCATAGTCCCTCGATGACGCTTCAAAAGTTTACTTTCAAATGATCTTAGTCCCTCAAAGAGAAATGCTAAGATATCTCACAACATTGCTATCATGATTATATGATGACCCACGCCCGTCCCTTTACATCCAAAGATAAGGCTTCTTACCAATCAATGGTGAGATAACAATATCAAAGGAAGAGAGAAATGAACATGAAAGACTTTTAAATAGGTAGAACGTTCCTAGTTGCTTGCTCACTTTCAAAACAAACATCCTTGCAAACACACACCAAACACTTTCAAAACATAAAATATTTTCAAAAGTCCAACACTTTGTATACGTTCTTACGAAACGAGAACCATTACAAAGTTTTCCTAAACAAATGCGTCTTTTCAAAAATACTTTCAAAAACCACCACAAAGCACATTTTCAAACAAATAAAGTGATCTAGCAAGCAACCAAGAGACCATAGATAAATATGGATGAAAAGGATGCTAACACCTTCCCTTTTCATAATCTACCCCCCGAACTCAAGAAACAATCTCAAAGGTCTTTCCTATGCTTTTTCACCATTCCTTTTGGATAAAAGAAAATTTGGTGGCGACTCTTGCTAACCGCAACATTTGCGATCAAAGCAAAACACCCAAGTCAGTTCTCCCACCGTATCACACTGTCGGTATTGCCCGAGTCTACCACCATTGATGAGGGTTTTGATTGCGTCTTTGAGGTGGACACAGTCTTCAGTCAGGTGCCTGTGATTCCGATGGTACTGACAGTATTTGTTCCTGTCAGCCCTGGGCTTTATAGGAGCAGATCGAGGACATCTGACTTACCGTCCTTGAAGTCGGTATAAGAGCACTCCGCCAGGGATGCGCTCGCGGGAAGTGGTCAGAAGAGTGTATTCGGTGAATCGCCCTGCAAGTCCCATGTGCTCGCGGGGATCACACGGTTTATCGTCCCTTCTCTTCTCGCCCGTTCGTCGAAGAGGGCCTGCGTCCTGGTGTCGCAGAGTGTTGGTCGGTCTGCGATTCCTTGGGTCGTGGGCTTTATTGGCCGCTTTCCTTTCCTCATAGTCCATATATTCCCTAGCTTTTTTGAGGAGAACATCGAAAGTCTGGGGTGGTTTGATGTTGACGGCCTTCCTGAACTCCTTGCCCCGGAGGAGTCCTCTCTCAAGCAAATATCTCTTCTCGTGATCGGTACAGGGGACCTGAATGGCCTCGTGGTTGAACCAATCTATGTACTCCTTGAGGGTTTCGTCGCTGCTTTGGACGATAGCCTCGAGAGCGACCTCAGTCTTCGGATGTCAACGAGAGGCTGTGAATGAGCTGATGAAAGTTTCTCCAGGAGGTGATTGACCCTGGGGGAAGGTTCTTGTACCAGTCCATTGCAGTCTTTCTCAAGGTCGTAGGGAACAATCGGAATTTGATCGGCCCCTGAAGTTATAATAGTGGAGCATTGCCTCGAACCGGTCGATGTGGTCGACAGGGTAGGCAATGGCGTCATATTCTTTCAGTTGAGGAGGTTTCTCCATTCCCCTTGGAATGGGCGCCTCCCAGATTGCTTATGATAGGGGACCATTGGGGTCCTCTTTTCATCGCTCCTGTAGGGAAAGTGGGAAAGGGACCGATTCTAATGGAGGTCGTAGTGATGGACTTGACCTTAGGGAGGACTACATAGTCGTGGGTTTGTTTCCCACAGACGGCGCCACTGATCGTACCTGACCAGAATGGATTGTCAAAACCTATGAGCTGTTAGTTGAGCAACAACTGGAAACGAGTTGGGGGATACCTGCAAGACACTCCAATGCCAAAGTAATGTTCGAAGCAGTGCGAGCAAGTATGAGAGTGAGTATCAAAGAATGAATATCCGACCCTCTCAAGTGAGAGTGTATTTATAGCCTCCAGTGTTGGGCCAAGGTCCCCATCGTTGGGCTAGACAAGCAGGCTCAAAATGGAGACTGCTAGGTCTGATGTGCGTAGTGGGGGCCAGCACGTGGTCCCCAACCTAGGTGGACTCCCCCGAATTGTCAGGAGGATATGGATGCGGTCTTTTCGAGACCAAGAGGACTCTGATATTGGAGGTGTTGACAGTCAAACCTACAAGGAGGATGCTCGTGAGGTACTTTTATCCGTCGTGGACCCTCCTCACCAGCTGTGAAGTTGTCCCCGGAAGACTTGTCTTGACCGACGAGAAGGGTGGAGGATGCTCACGAGGTCCTCCAGACCGGTGACGAGCCTCTTCGCAATTCCTGAATTTATCTCTGTATGACGAAGCCGCGTTTTCCCGAAAGATGAGGTTGCTGCCCGACATAGTCAAGGGCAGGCTCGATCAGCAGGCCTTCTTGAGCAGCATAGTTGGATTGGGCCTCGTATGAAGTTAGGTCAAGTGCAGACCCAATCTAAAACAGATTTATTTTTTAAATTTGAGTTTTAAAGTAGTTTTGATTTTAGTTTATTAATTTTTAAATTTTATTTTATAAATTAAGTTTTAATTTTAATTTATAGTTTTAAGTAATTTCGTTAATTTATAGTTAAAATAACTAAATAAAAATAATTTAAAAAAAAGAAAACAAACCAAACGAAATTGGTGGAGGAAGGCAAATTATTAGACAGTAAAATTAGAGTCAGCTTGAGTCGTCGCTAACATAAAAAATATAATTAATTAAAACAATAACTAGCAAACGAAATTAATGGAGAGAATTGAAATTTTTCACACATGTGTTAGTGTCGGATAAAGCCGACGCTATAATTAATAGCCTAATGAAAAATGAAGCAAATGATTTAACCGGTCATTTTTATGTGAGACATATTGACAATGCTATTAGCGTCGGATTAGAGTCAACATTGAAAATTTCCAACTAAAACATGAATTTTTTGCTCTAGAATTTTTTCACTGGGTTTTTTCTAATAAAATTTTAACGAATGATATTCTTTATGACGATCCAAGAAGAGTGTTATAAATGATATGATTATTGATGTCTATCAATTAAGAGATTTCATATTTATTTTCTATTATTACATTTATTCTATAAATATGACTCATATTATACTTGAAACATAGATTCACAATATGAATAGTAGAATATACTCTATTATTCTCTTTCTCTCTTTTATTGTTTTATTGAGTTTTATATTTATCTTTTCTTAATTTTGATCCCTATTTTAAAATTTAGAATTTAAAATGGGAGAAAAAAATGATAATAAAAAATCAAAACTTAATTAAGCTCAATTATTTTAAAATTTAAACGTTAGTAAAGATACTTCACCTCTCATGTTTGTTCTCTCATTGGTAGTCTCTAAAATCGTAAAAAGAATATGGTTCTCTCAATAATTATTTTTGGTTCATAATGATTCTAAATATGTAAATATGTCCAAATTTTTGTATCCATGATTTATTATAATATTTCATATTTTCATGTTCAGTACTAAATTAGTTATTTTTAGAACTAATACACACAAAAAAATACATAAGTAAAAATATAATTAGAATATTGGTCTACATATTTTATTATAAGATTTTGATATGTATACTTTTTTTTAATGAAAATTACGTGATATTAAAATTAAATATAACTAGAAGAAAAAAAGAGAATTACTTGCACCTTTAGAATTTTTGGATAGCAAAATCAATAGACTTAAAAACTACATAAAAATATAATATTGTTATTATGATATATCCATTGCAAAACTGTATATCACTTTAATTTTATTAATTTTAATAAGATAATTGACTATTGTAATAAATGATTGAGTTCATTTTTTTAAAAACAATGAAAATATTAAAAAGTCAAATTCATTATTTCTTTTCGTGTTATTATGAAAATATTGTTAATTTTATATTATTGTTGAACATAATCAGCACTTAGTCATATTCATTATTTTTAGAAATGAATAATTTCTAATTACCATTTTATCCCCTCTCTCTCTCCATCATCGGTAGTTCAGTTCAAGAATCTAACATTCATTTATAAATAAGTAAAAATAAATATAATTTAAAAAATAACAAATAAAAAAAATATTTTCACAAAGTAAACAAGAACTTAAATTGTTCCCCTTTTATATACTTCAGAAATAAATTCCAAATAAGAAAGAATAATAATTTAGTTAAAAAAAAGAATAATACTGAAAAATTAATGGTAGACTTATTGAGAAATTAGAAAAATGACATGAAAACTATGTATATTGTTTAAAGACTATACTATAACGCTGAAAGAAATAACTAAGCTATAGACAAGATGCGAATTCAACAGATAAGTGCTTGATAATAGGTGGGAAGAAAGCAAAGGATGAAGAAGAGCAAAGAATTGATGCATTATTATCCATAGGAAGGTGCACAAGCTATGCAAGCAAGAAGGAGAATAGCAGAAGAAACACCATCTTCTTCCACATTGGAACTGCTTCTTTTGAACTTTCCAGTTTTTCCTTTGTTGCATTGAATTTGTTTCTGTTGTTGATGGTTCTGATGTTGTGCTTGTTGTTGCTTGTTCTTCTTCATTGCTTCTTCCACTTTAGATACCATGATATCTTTGAATTATTTGAAGGAAAATGAAAGAAATAGTAAAATAGGAAAGTAGATAGAGAAGAATGTTGTGTTTGGGAAGAGTCATAAGTATCTGCCCTTTATATAGAGTTTTGTAAGCAGATATACATGCCTTTGTTTTCTGCCAGTTTTCCCTTTACTATGGTCCTCCAATTGGCAATTGTTGGGCCCCTGCACATAATAATAATAATAATAATAATAATAATAATAATAATAATAATAATAATAATAATAATAATAATAATAATAATAATAATAATAATAATAATATTATTATTATTATTATTATTATTATTATTATTATTATTATTATTATTATTATTATTATTATTATTATTATTATTATTATTATTATTATTATTATTATTATTATTATTATTATTATTTCCTTTTTTTATAATTATCTTCCCTACACCTCTGTTATTTTCTCTCTGTGACATGAGTGACCGAGTTGTAAGCTGGGAATGAATTCACGGACGAATCCAATGATGTTATCCTCTCTGTTCTTTTGTTTTAAATAAGAAAAATGTATGTAATTTTAAATTGGTTATTTTAAGCTTCTATTTAACTATTTCAATGCTGCAAATCATTTAAATTTAAGACTTTAGCCTCCTAACTTGTTGTTTTATAAATTTTAGCACAGACTAGCATGCAGCTAGCTCTCCACATATATCACGGGATTCCTAGGCAACATTTATATATGCCAATTTTGAGTATAACCATTTCAACTCTGCTAAATTTCCAACCATTCAAACACAACTCATTAATATTTTATTTCTTATATTAGAATTATTTTTACAAAGGTTAATGATCTCATGATTTATTAAAATTTGTTTGAATGATATTTGCTAAATATATAATTCACGACAATCTTTGTATTGTAGGGTCAAAAGCTTTTAAAGTTGTTGTAGTGTTGAGTAATTATGAGAAATGATGTATACCGATATTTCATGAGTGAATTGTTTTTTTTAATTTTTTTTTAATTTTAAGGTTGAAGTATTTATAGAAATCTTTTGTGTTTGAATTTTAGATTCCAAGAAAGTAAAACTCACTATGAGGAGCTTGAGTAACATGCAATTACCTCTCTATTATCTTGGAGAACATCCTCTCCCATATAGTCAGTGATAAGAATATATCACTCTCACGTTTCACATAAAGGCGAGTGATATAGAAAATATACGTCATAAATATCAAATGAGAGACGCTCGTTTCAATAAATGGATGTCTAGGAAGCTGGCACGCATGATATATTACGTCATCACTCTTTAGAAAACTTCTTGTTTGAACAATTAGGATTTTTAAGAAACATGAGAGAAGAAGAAGAAGAGAGAAAAGAGAGAAAATTGTAAAATTGGATAATATTATTCAATTGTATTAATTGTTATGAATTACAACATAACATGTCTATTTTTAAGGTATCAAGGCTCAAGTCCAAAACATACAACCCAAATCTAGAATATACAAAGTGCATTTTGACAAACTCAACTATATGATGTATTCGACAGAGTCGAATACAACTAACTATACAACTACTTTAAGTAGGTTACAACCTTGTCAAACACAAACTAGTTAACTCAAATTGACTAGGTTGAACACACCATAGTCGAACCCAAACTTGAATAATTGAATTATTAGCTTATAACACACTCCCTAATTCATGTTTTCAAGACTTCTCATCTCGGTACTTTTCTTCAACTCATCAAACCTGAATTTCTTCAGAGGCTTGGTGAGTATATCAGCTAGCTGCCATTCTGTCTTGCAATGCCCAAGTTCAAATTTTTCTTTATTCACTTGATCCTTGAGAAAATGATACTTTATCTCTATCTATTCACTTTGACCATGACACATAGGATGATTGGGTAGGTTGATCCCTTACTTGTTATCTACAAACAACTTCATTTTCTTAGGTTTCATGATTGTGAGCTCTTCTAGCAGCATCTCTATCCATACTGGCTGAAATGTTGCATATGATGTAGCCACATACTCAGCTTTACATGATGATAAAGCCACGATGCTTTGCTTCCTTGGACTCAAAGATATTGGAGTGCATTCGATCATGAATATGTATCTTGTAATACTCTTCTTCTCGTCTTGATCTCCACTAAAATCTGAATCAATATAGTCATATACCACTACATTTGTGTTGGTATTCTTTTGTCTTGGCATCAGTGCACCATGATCAATCGTGCCCTTTATGTATCTCAGCACCCTCTTAAATATTGTGAGATGACATTCTTGAGGTTTCTCCATAAATCTGCTCAATACGCTGACACTTTGATAAATATCTGGCCTAGTATTTCAAACATACCTCAAGGTTCTGATGCTTTGCTTGTACAGTGTTGCACTTACAAACTCATCATTTGTATCCTTCCTCAACTTTGCTCCAGTTTCTAATGGCATGACGGCTATATTACAATTCCTCATCTCGAACCACTTCAAGATATCTTGGGAATACTTCTTCTAGTGCAAAAATATTCATTCACACGTGTCTTTGAATTTCATCCCTAAGAAATATGACAAATTTTCCAGGTTGGACATTTCAAACTTCTGCATCAGCTTCGACTTAACTCTTCTTATCTTTGCTTCATCTGCACTTGTAATCAACAAAGTATCTACATGCAGGCATAAAATGATTTGACTGATCTTGTATGCATCATTGAAATACACTTCATGTCCAGAGATACACTTTGTGAAACTTGCTTTGATTAGGAAGCTATTTATTCTCTTATTTCAAACCTTCTGGCTTGTTTCAAGCCTTATAGAGCCTTCCTAAATCTGTTCACTTTCGACTCCTGTCTTTTGATTTCGAATCCTGGTGGTTGATTGACATAGACTTCTTCTTCCAAAGGTTCATTTAAAAATGCTTATTTTACATCTAACTGATGTATCTTCCATCCTCTGTAGGCTACTGTCGACACAACAATCCTCATTGTCTCCAACCTTACAACAAGTGTGTAGACCTAGTCGAAATCAAGACCAAGTTTTTGCATAAAACTTCTCACCACTAGTATTGCCTTATGCTTGACAATTTCACCGTTTGGCCTTCGTTTTAACTTGTAGACCCACTTCAGATCAATTGGCTTCTTTCTATATCTTTTTTCATGTCTAAGCCTCATAAGGTGTCTTGCCTACCATATTCTTGTCATGTGAGAATTATTTCAAACTGTGGGAGATGGAACTTGTAATATCCAAATTCACCATATGCATGTGTTACTTTTGGTAAGGTCCGTATGAGAATGAAGAGTGGAAATTTGGAAATAAAAGATTCACAAACTATGATAGAAAAGACTTAGTTTGGGGGGAGGTTCTTGTTGGGGAGACTAGATATGAAGATGAAGTTAAGGCTCCTATTTCTAGTTCTAGTGAAGAGAAATCTACAATTGTTCCTAATTATCAATTGATTAGTAATAATACGAGGAGATAAATTATACCACTTTAGAAATACAATTGTGTTAACCTTATTTGTTATACTTTGAATGTGGTCGAAAGATTACAAGACTCGTAACCAAATACATTCATGGAGGCATTCAAAAGAAAATTTTAAAAATGGTTGAAGCTTGTGAATGTAAAATACATTCACTTATGGAAAACCATGCTTATGAACTTGCGAGACTACCTAAAAAATAAATGATAGTTGGATTCAAGTGAAATCAATGGCATGCCAAACTCAGGCTTTAAACAATGTTTGGACTTTATCAAACTTATTGAAGAATGATTTAAATTTTGGAGAGAACATTAAGATAGTTGGTGGATAAACGGACATTACCATCAATTTTAACATGAAGGTAGAGAACTTTGGAGATTTCCTTAAAAATCTCAAAAACTTATTCGTGATAATACATTGCGTTTAAGAAAAATATAATGCATTTGAAGAATACATTTGCAAGAAATACAACACATTCATGTGTTTCTTTTTCAAAAACACCACATTTCACATGAAACCCATAAAAGATGTTTTTCATCCTTTTTTTTTAGGTAAAAGTGGCATACTAGTGTCATCAATGAAAAGTTTTTTGGAGAGAAAAATTTCGAGAGACAATGGAAGAAATTCGTAGAATCTATTGTTCTAAAATTTTGAATAACACATGCTATTTAAGGGGATTGAAAAAAATATTTAAATATATTAAATTTAATGTGATTTATATATTAAGAATTAAAGAATTTGAGAAATATTTGAATAAAAAATGTGAAATGTTCTTTAAAATTTTAAAAAAAATATTTTTTTTCCAATTCTTTTGTAATCTCTATAATAATTATTGAAGCATAATAAATTGGAGAGTTACTCTTTTTTTTTTTTTATAGAATAGTTCAAGTTTATAAAATTATATAAACAATATGTATATTCATCACTTTATTTTATTCTTGTGTTTATATTCATCACTTTATTTTATTCTTGTTGTCTGTGTGAGTTGTTTACACAATTTAACGATTTTATTTATTTTGTTTGAGACTACATATTAATGTATTTTTGACTAATACTCAAGATTAATTGAGACAACAAGTTTAGTGTATATATGTACTCTTTGGCATGATTATCCTTTTAGAATGTCTGATTATAATGGTAGCTATAATCAAATAATGAGATTGATAATTTAGTACTAAATCATTGAAGTACTCAATGATTACTAGAGCATATATACAAATTAAAAGCTCATATAAGTTGTCAGGAGAAAAGAAAAATATTTTTAAAAGAAATCAAAGCATATGTGAAATTTAAATCATGAGCAATATGACAAAAATACGTATCTTTTGAAGTAAATTCAATATATGGATTATAGATACGGTATGGAAAGGTCAAATATAAAATATATAGTTAAGTCTATATTTTATCATTGCCATAAACATTGGACATAGAGTTCTTGTCGTGACCCTGGGGGTATAGAGTTTTTTCAT